TTACTTCAAGTGTTCTAATGTCAGCCTCTGCATTTTGACCACTTCATTATTACATGTTCTGTCATAAAAAGGATTACTTCTTTCTGAAAAGTAATCCAAGACACTACCACTGTTCAAAATAGGGATCCAAGAGCTGTCAACCCAAGAAATTCCCAGCAGATTGTCTACAGGAAAGAAAACAAAATGATAAAGGATTAGAAAAAAAGAAAGAATTCAATCCAACAAACATTTATCATACATCTAATGTAGCAGGCACTATGAATATAAGGATGACATGGGTCCTAACCAACACACTCTCATGATGTAACAGAAGAGATTATTCAAGAAAGCAATAACATGATGTAAGCGTTATAATAAAGACACGGTGAAACCCCATCTCTACTAAAAATACAAAAAATTAGCTGGGCATGGTGGCAGGTGCCTGTAATCCCAGCTACTTGGGAGGCTGAAGCAGGAGAATCGCTTGGCCCCGGGAGGCAGAGGTGTAGTGAGCCGAGATCTTGCCATTGCACCCCTGCCTGGGTGACAGAGCGAGACTGTCTCAAAAAAAAAAAGATATGAAGAAATGTGTTATGAGACTATACAGGAAGGAGCAGAATAATTTACCTGAGGGAATGAAAATGATTTTTCATGGGGTAAGAAGGTGAGTTTTAGCATAATATGTTAAATAATAAATAAAAACTTACATAGAGTAAAGGGCAAAGTAATTCCAAGCAGAGAATGTATATACAGAAGTGTAAAAATATAAAGTACATTATAGCTTTAGAGAATAATTTCATTAGGTGAAGAAGTGATAAGATTTAAAATATAGAAAGGATTTAATTGGAAATCCTTATATACTGGCAAGGAATTCAAAATTTTCAAACAACATGTATGCCCAAGAGAACACATCCATAGTCATTAGTTTAAGATCTCTCAATTAGGGATAGAGAAGTTAGGAAGCTATTATTGTAGATGAGATGATAATGATGTAAAAGCTAAAGGATAAACAGGAAGTAGAATGCCCTTAACTACGGTGACACAGTTTCATATTTAGAGTAGAATTAAATCATAGCTTTTAAAAAGACATGAAAAATAGAGCTAGATATTTTTAATAAATGAGCTTTTATTGGCTAATGGTTTCAATGATACTTCATACCACTGACTGTACTGAACACCACTAGGTGTAAATCATGAACATCAAAATACCTATACAATACAGGTTGAAAACCTTCAGCCTCTCTTATCCTTTTATTACCTCTGACATCTTCAAAGAAGTCAGACCTAATTCAAGGTGGCAAGCAGTTTTGAGCAAAATGACTCAACTGAGAAAAATTATATAAAGGTAAAATGTACTTTATGTGCTATACAGCAGGAGACAGATAAAGTATGTTAATAACCAAATAATTAGTACAGATCATTTACATGGTCCATCATAACTGGATCATGCAATAACCAAATACACAACAGACCAGGAAATAAGATTTTGGAAAGAGTCTTTGTAATGAAAAGCAACTAAAGACAAGCATCATTCTCAGCTTTAAATACTACAGTGCAATTATTAACATAGGTTTATTTACATTAAAACTTCTTATACATTTATTTCCTTAGCATGATTATATTAAAGTATTTCTAGAAGGACAGTTTCGGTTTGTTTTTCACAGGACACTATGTCTATATGGTGCCATAATCAATTATTAATAATAGTGTTAACAACATAATTTCAGCAGAGGTGGAATAATCCACAAAAACAAATAAATGTGTAATTATAGATCCTACCTACAAACAATTACAGGAAGTTAACAGATTCATTTAGGGACATGATGATAATGAACGTGTCTTGGATAGATTGGGTTTAAGTATGGAATCAGACTCTCAGAATTAGAATCTTAAACGTCATCTGCTCCATGTGACTTCAGTAAATTCTCCCTGTAAGTTCTCTTTACAAAGCTGTTTCCACACTTACAAAACTCTTCATCAGCATTTATTTCTAATCTATTTTAATTGTCTAGTAAACTAATTCAAAGAGGAAAAATGAGACATATATGACATACAAAACCAATGCAAATGGAAATAATCCTATTTCTCATTTTTGAACACTGACTTTGTGCCTGGCCCTGTTCTAATCACTTTACCACACAATAACTCAAAGAGTTTGGTAGTATATTACTATTTTACACAAGAAGAATCTAAAGCATGGGAAGGCTAAGTAACTTGTCACAGAACTACTAAATGGTGGAGCTGAGATTTGAATACAGGTATCCTAACTCTACAGATCACAGTCATACACACTACACTGGCTCAGAATGAAAACGCCCACTACAGAGATATTAAGAACTTGTGAGAAAAGCCAGAGGTCCTACTATAAATTTGAAGGCCACAGAACAATGAGTACTGTTCTAGAGAGGATGCAGTCTCATAAAATACATTTCCTCTTCTTCATCCTTATTGCCACTGTTATTTATTTAATCTCCCAAATGTCACTCAGACAACAGCTTTCCATTGGGCTCCCTGCCTCTAAGTCTTCCCTCAATCCTATTTGGCCTTAATTATGCTATGCTTGCAAAATAATCAAATTATGTCACAGCTTACTGCAAGAATGGTAGTGCACACTTACTGTCCAACAGATTAAGATCCAAATTCCTTAATATGGCATTTCACAATCTAGCTACACTAGATTCTCACTTCACTGCCCGCAATTATCTACCACACAGCAGAATGACACAAGGAAATAAAACTTCGGCAAGTTAATCTCCTTGTGCCTTGGTTTCCTCATCTATAAAATGAGATCATAATAGTATCTACATACTAAGGTTACATATGTAAAATGCTTAGCACATTGTAATAACTCAATAAATACTACTTGGGATTACGATGGTGTTGGTGGTGGCTTCTTTCTCTATGTTCTCATAGCAATCTTTATACACTTTTATTTTCATAACCTAGAAGCACAAGCAACTTCCCATTAAATTATGAGTTTTTAGAGAACTGGGGCTGTGTCTTACTCACCAGGAACCAATATAGGACCTGATTTAAAATAACCAGCAAATGTTGATTAATTCATGATTGAGGACCAAGTACAAGTACTACATTGGTCAGTGGTTTTTCTCAATCCATTTATGAGCTCAAGTATCCAAGAATATTTTTCTAGAAAATGGTTAAGAGGTAAGAGTTATGGTAAGAGTTGAGGTAAGAGTTGTGGTCTACGGCTATGAAAATGAAATTATCTGTTGCACTTAGAGATTATCTGTGAACCCAGCCCCACAAAAAGAATACACTACCAAGTCAGGCAGATTCTAACCACTTTCTACCATCTCTGTTGTTATCATTTTAATCCAAGCTATGTCCAAACCTCCATGCATTATCGAAGTGGCCTCCTAACTGGTTTCCTTAATTCTACCCTTGCTCTCTTACACTGTTCCCAGCAGCCAATGTATTCCTAAAAAAAATCATATCACATCATTCCTCTGATGGAAACCCTCCAATGGCTCTCCATTTTATTTGGAGGAGAAGCCAAAGACCTTATCATGGCTTTCAACATCTTTCTGACCTCATCTCCTTCCCACATCCTCTCTCACTTCCCTCCAGCCACATTGGCCTCCTTGCTGGTCCTTTAACACACCAAACACACTCTTAGAGTCTTTACCATGATCCCAACAAATCTAAATTGTAAGTAAAAATTATACAAACTAAGTATTTGAAAATAGTCTGATAGACTAAATGTTTCTCTTTTTTATTTTGTAGCAAGGCAACATGTTGACATAGCCTAGGCAGTTTAAGAGCATTCTAACAATCGGCAAGGATGAAATTAGGCATTTGAAACTCCCACTTATAATGAAAGAAAGGTATGTAAAATCGTGATCCAGAAGTGTTTAAGATCACCGGATAACTATAAATGAGAATGTTTGTAATAAATGTGCTAGACCCCAATCCAGTTAATATAGAAAAAGGTGCCTCAGGTCGGGGGCAGTGGCGTGAGCCAGCACTTTGAGAGGCCGAGGCGGGTAGATCACCTGAGGTCAGGAGTTAGAGACCAGCCTGACCAACATGGAGAAACCCGTCTCTACTAAAGATATAAAATTAGCCCGGCATGGTGTCGCACACCTGTAATCCCAGCTACTCGGGAGGCTGAGGCAAGTGAATCGCTTGAACCCAGGAATTGGAGGTTGCGGTGAGCCAAGATTGCGCCATCACACTCCAACCTAGGTAACAAGAGCGAAACTCCTTCTCAAAAAAAAAAGAAAGAAATAAAGAAAGAGAGAGAAGAAAAAGGCACAGCATCTCAAACACTTCCCTTTAAAAATCAAGTACTGTATATACGAACAAAAACAACCCTACATGCTCCCCAAGATCATTAATGGGTGGCATGTCCATATATTTATTCACTGATTGATTAAATATTTGAGTACCTCTACAGCTCAGGTGTGAAAAAGATACGACCCCTGCCCGTAATAATTGATGGATGTTCGATGTAAAGTATTATCGACTCAAAAATAAACCTTACAAAAGAAAACATTTGGGATTCATGCCCAGGGACTCGTGGGGAGCGATCGTATTAGGGAGTCACCACGCCAAGTCCCATGACATGAATCAAATCAAGTTGGCTCATTACCCCACTCCCTTCTCTGCCCAAAGGCCATTCCTTCACCCCAACAGAATAGCTCTGTTGTTGCAGAGATATGCGTGTAGAATACTCCAGCTCTGAAGACTCAAAGCCCAGAGCTGCTTCCAGCCCCTTCTCTCCCACGCTTCCAAGAGACGCTCCAAGAACTTGGAAAAACTCGTCAGTGTTTAGCTCGATCACAGTCTTAGGTCGTCCACAAAAAACAGTAAGAAAAGCTTGAGACCTAACACAAAGGAACCTGAACCTTGAGCCTGCGAGCTATAACATCCCAAACTAGTCCACAGACAATCAAGAGACAAAGTATAGCAATACAATATACCTCGAATATCGACCGCCGCCATAATTCCGACAGCCTTCACAGGTTCTCTTTCCGGCGCAAGGTAAACGTAAGCCTAGGCCGCCGGAAGCAGCCGTTTGAAGAGAGTGCGCAAGGGTGAAGAGGAACGTAGAGCGGAAGAGGGGGCGGGGAGGACAGGAGAGGGGCAGGGCTGAGAGATACGAGCGGAAGAGGAGGGGCGGAAATGGAGAGAGGCTGGGAGGCGGGAAACGCGGGGCGGGGCGCTGAAAGGCCTGTGCAGGTGTGCTGGGAAAGACTGGGCGGGGAGGGAAGGGCCAAAGAAGGAGAAGGGGAGGGAGGATTACCGGGAAAAAAAATTAGAAGACAGAGTACAGGAAGAATTCTGTCTTGATCTTCTGTGATCGCCAAAAAACAACAAATTCTGATGCTGTATAATTGTGCGTGGGAGCGTCTCAATTTTTAAAGCTCCTCTGGTGTATACATTGAACTGTTAGGTTTAGGAACGATGGTCATTTATATTTTTCACCCTGCCTCAGGTATTGGGATGGGACAGGACTCAACATAGAGAATTTGGGAGTCCTTGGCTTTCATGTGACCAAATCCATTAACAATCTAAACCAATTAAAGAAGCCTCTGAGAAAAATTTCACAAGACAGGAAATGCTTCTGAAGTGAAATATTAATGAGATTAAGAGAAAGGGAATAGGCCGGGCGCGGTGGCTCACGCCTATAATCCCCGCACTTTGGGAGGCCGAGGCGGGTGGATCACGAGGTCAAGAGATCGAGACCATCCTGGTCAACATGGTGAAACCCCGTCTCTACTAAAAATACAAAAAATTAGCTGGGCATGGTGGCGCGTGCCTGTAATCCCAGCTACTCAGGAGGCTGAGGCAGGAGAATTGCCTGAACCCAGGAGGCGGAGGTTGCGGTGAGCCGAGATCGGGCCATTGCACTCCAGCCTGGGTAACAAAAGCGAAACTCTGCCTCAAAAAAAAAAAAAAAAAAAAAAAAGAGAGAAAGGGAATACCCCTGGGTCCCAGAGTAATAGCAAATGTCTGCATTCCAAGTAGTCTGGAGTAGGTAGCAGGACTCCAAAGAGGGAATGATTCTGTGTACGGGGAAACTACAGAAAGCCTCAGATTCTCAAGCTCCAGTGTGGCTCTAAAAGCAAAACGATAGAAAAATGTGCAAACAACACACAGATACTGGGAAGAGGATACCAAAATCTGAAGGAGGAATGAGGGTGGGTGCCTACATCTTCTCCAAAACTTAGGTACTGTGAAGACTCCCCAAGAATTTAACCACAACGCAGGGGCAAGAGGGAAAGACCATGAATTTAATTGGGATTTTCAACCTCATAGATAAGGAATTCAAAATTTTTAAACCTCAGTAGAATAAAAGTATATGGCCTGTACATTTCAGTTTGGGGATTTTCTGCCTGAGATGGTATGTGTAAAATAGGTGTCCCAACAGAAATATATGGCTGCACAGAGTAGAATTTGAGAGAATTTTTCAGGAAGGAAATTTTCAGGAAGGCCTGGTTGGGACCCTAGTGGGAGGACATTGCAAAAAGGAGGCATATCATGTCCACTAGAAGGAAGTGTGATAGATACATCAAGGTTTTTGTTTCGTTTTTCTAGTTTTTTGTTTCTTGGTGTTTTGTTTAGACTAGAAGGAGATTAGGAAGAATAGTGACAGAACACACATCTGTAGATAATAAAACACATGGTATGCATGATAAATAAGACCCGGAAGCTAAACCTTTATCTTGTAGGCAATAGGAGAAATGTGATCAAGCTTCCATTTTAGAAAGATTACTTGAGGAGGATGAGCTGGAGGTGTTTGTAAGACTCAAAGCAGGGAGTCCATTTAGGGGATTCTTGCAAAAGGCAGTGGTAGCTGAAGGGAAAGAGAGGATTAAAGATATTTAGATGACAGAATCAAAAGGGCATTAGTGACTAATAAATGGGCTTGATAAGGGAGAGAGAAGAATTAAAAATGATTTTCAAGATACTGGTTTATAAGACAAGTGCCATTAATCAGATTAGGAATAACAAGTAATAAGTGAATAGGTGAGAAAAGAGGTAGTGATTTATTTCTGATCATGACCATGTTGTTCATAAAGTATTTGCAAAACATCCTGTAACCAGGGTATCTTAGCCTTTGCACTATGGATATTTTGGGCCAGTTCATTCTTTGCCTAAGGCAAATGTATGTTTAGTAGCAGTCCTGGCTTCTACCAACTACATGCCGATAGCACCCCCTCCCAGCAAAACTATTCCCAGTTGAAAACCACTGCTATACACTGGTATCTTTAGGAATATGAAGTCAAAGCAGAAGAGTTTCGAGAAGAAGGAGTACTCAACAGCATCAAGGAAACAAGTTAGGTAAGGTAACCGCCAAGAAGCAGGCATTGGATTTGGTAAATTGGATGCCCATAACAAGAATAATTTCTGTGGAATGGTAGGAAGGGGCAGAAGCCAGAGGAAGATATGTTCAGGAGTGAAAGGAGGTGGCATTGGGTGTAAACTGTGCTTTCAAGAAGCTTGGCTGAGGAGGAAGGCTAGAGCTAAAACACTACCTAGAAGGGAATGTGGAAATAATAATAGGGAAATGTGAGTAGGTTGTTAGATATTGTGAAAGACCCAAAGAGAGTATATCCAGTTTATCTTAAAATTGTTCATCCATTCATCAGTCGGTCATCAAGTATTTAACGCCTACTATATGCTTTGCTCAGCTCTCATTTCAGAAGATAAGTCAGTAAACGGACAAAGCCCCTGGCTTCAAAGAGCCAGCAGCTCTGATGGAAAAGAAAGACCATGAACAAGTAAACAAATAGAGAAGAACATTACAGCCTCACACCTGTAATCCTAGCACTTTGGGAGGCCAGGATGGAAGGATACCTTGAACCTAGGAGCTGGGGACCAGTCTCATCAACATAGTGAGACCCCATCTCTATTTCTCTTATATTAATTGTTTCAATTAATAAAGAAACATAAATTTAAAAAGAAGAGTATTACAGATTGCAGTAACAAAAACAGGAGAAGACGAGACAGGGAGGAAGCCACTTGGATAGGATGGTCAGGACACGCCTCTGAGGAAGTGATACCTGAGATGAGACCTGGAAGATAAGAGTGAATCACTCATGTGAACAGCTGGGGCACAAGCATTTCAGACAGAGGGGACCATGGAATCTACAGTGAGAAACAGGGTGGTCTCAGAAGCATAGAAAGGCCAGTGTAAGCTGGATTATATGAGTGAAGGATAAATGGTGGCAAAAAGGAGACTGGGAATGAAGGCAGGGGCCAGATGTTAGAGAGTCTGGTCAATAATTTATTTTTTATTCAAAGAAAATAGGAAGCTCTTAAAAGATTTGAAAGAGTAGAATGCCACAAAGGTATTAGTTCTGAGTGGAAATTTGTTTATGGATGTCCAAAGTATTTGCTGTGCTTATTGAGCCACTTGCTATGGATGAGGCACTGTGCAAGCACTTTGTTCCCTCAAAACAACCTTGCGAGGCAGCAGCTATTACTCCCATTTTTAAATGAGGAGACTGACTGAAGCAGATGAGCTAGCTTCTCGCCAGACTTAATATCTACTTGGGTATATAGCTGTGCTATATATTCCACCCGTTCCACCTGGATGAAGCTATACAGCCAGTTCACATCAAAGGACTGTGAATGGAAGTGATAAGCATTACCTCCAGGCCAAGGTAGTGAAAAACACTGGTTCTGTATTCACCTTCTCTCTCTGTATTCACCAGCTAGATGCCAGAAAAACCTAAGGTCATGAATTAAAAGTGGTGGTGTTAAGGGGGAGCTGGGAGTGGGGTCTCTGAAAGACTGATCACAGGTGCTGAACCACCTTGCTGACCTAAACTGGATCCAAAGCAAGAAATAAGATTTTCTTGAGTTAAAACACACACACAAAATTTTGCTATGTATTATCTCCTTCATAAAATCAGTAATACTGATGTAACCTATTTTCTGTAGGATATGTTAAAATGTGTACCTGCCTCCCCTACATAGAGTGTGACCTTTTGAAGCTTTATGATTTGGAGACTTAGATGGAATGTAAATGTGAGAATGCAAGTGAAAGAGAGAGAGGAAAAAAAGATCTTCAGTAAGAAAGTGGGAATGATTTCTGATTGGTTAAAGATGAAATGATACTCATGGATACTCATCTTCCACCATAGGATCACCATCTAGCTAAACAGCTTTTCTTCACACAAGCTCCCTTTAAATACCTGACGCCATGATCCTCATTACTATGTTTTGTTTTCTCTAACATTCTCTCCAATATTCTAAATTTACACAGGTCATGTCATCCCACTCTGTACCTACAGAAATGTGTGTCTTTCCTTATAGGAATACCTCTATGATTGCAGGGCCTGAATTCAGACTCTTTTCTAAAAAAGAAATTCTCTAGACTGCAAACTCTGTGAGGACATGGTCATGTCTGTGTTTGCCTAGTGTTACTTACTTAATCTCCTGCAGGGTGTTTTTTATATAGTAGGTGTTCAACAAATATTTGTTGAATGAACAAATTCATGTATAAGTGAATGGATGATATGGCAGCCCTCAGATAAATAATAAACTTCATTAATTCAATAATAAATGAAATATGAGATTGTTAATGGAGATTAATTTATGGGACGTTATAAGAAAATTCTTAAAATCTCTCCTGATGTTAGAATAATGCAAAATGCACATCAACTTTATTTATACTAATATTCTAAACAATGACAACATGGTTATATTTTGTTTGGTGTCAAAATGCAACAGGAAAGGCCGTGGGAAACAGATCTCCCGAACACCGAATACCGAAGAAATTGATTAAAGCCAGGAGCTGAGGAAATGTTCTGTCCAAATTCAGCTCATCTAACAAAGGAAGGTTCTGCCTTTATATAGGCATATACTTTAGATATTACACATAGAATAATCTTAGGTTTATAGCTTTAGAAATCACATATGAAAAGGGTCTTGGTTTACAGCTTCAGGAATCACATATGAAAAGAGTTTCGGTTTACAGTTTCAGGAATCACATGTGAACGGGTTCCGGTTTACAGTTTTAGGACTCACATATGAAAAGGTTTCTGTTTACAGTTTCAGGAATCACATATGAAAGGGTTCCAGTTTACGGTTTTCGGACTCACATGTGAAAAGGTTACAGTTTTAGGAATCACATATGAAAGGGTTCCAGTTTACAGTTTTAGGACTCACATGTGAAAACGTTACAGTTTTAGGAATCACATATGAAAGGATTTCGGTTTACAGTTTTAGGACTCACACATCAAAAGCTTTCTGGTTTGATCTTGTTTTAAGTAAAAATACTGCCTTCCGGAGTTTCCCCAAGACCAAGCCTGCCACCTACAGGAAGGTGAAACAGGAGGTGCCAATCGGTCAGCCTTTTCTTCTATTGAAATGCAGTGTGATAGTCAAAGGGGAAGTTGATCTGAGATGCCTGGGTCTCCTTCATCACTACCAGGAAAGTATTTTAGCAAATGACAAGTGTGTGAGGTGTTTTTCCTTCTTATTTAGTGAGGGAAAATCCAGCTGCTTCATTATACAAGACAGGGCAGAAAATTGCCTTAGAAATACTGAGGAATTCTTTTGGAAAAGTTACCTTGGAAACTCTGAGATTGGCCCCAGTGGTCCAGGGAGAGGTAATGTACCAATTTTTTTTGTGATTTCAGAACCCCTTAAGGCAAATGCCAAAACCTGACCCGAGGCAGTAATTTTGAAAGCAGCTGTTCACCTTAGGAAGTGACTGTAATCATAAACCAAAAAAATCGAATCACTAAGCTTTAACCCTAGAATCCTAAACTTAAGAGTACAAATAAGCTTGGTCCAATCAGAATCATCTTCCCTCAAAGAACCTTGGTGGATTTTCCTCTAATTGCAGGTTAGTTGTCAAGGGCTCATGAGATTACACAGAGCTAACTTTAAGTAAGACTCCAAGAGGCATCAAAAAGCAATAACAAAGACAAACTAGATAATCATACTCCAGTATGGTATTAGAAGATATTTAACAACTCCCACACTCTTTGGGGTGAGTATGCCCCTGAGATGCTTGGTTAATTCTGGAGCAGAGCAAAGAGAAGTATCCCAAGGAAGATCCTTGACTATCAACTCAATACAGCAGGTAGGAGCTCAAAGTCAAATTGCTGTATCTGAAGTAACAATCCCAGCAAACCCTGAAAAGGAGGTGGCTGCAGCAATATCTTGGAAATCTGCTGGAAGTTCTTGCTTTACACTTAAGAACCTGGGGGTAGAGGATGAGACAGTTTCCTGAAGAAAAACGCAGGGAAGAAAGTAGTAATTCCGGGACCTTATCAGTAATAAAATAGTTCAACGTATTCTCATATTGTCCTTTTAAGCTGGGCTATATCTATGCCCATGTCTCCCTTTTTAATCACATTTGTTTCTTCTTTTTTTCATGTATGAATGTCACCAAAAATTTATCTAATTTGATTCTATTTTTAAAGAATGAACATTTATCTTGATTAATTCATTTATGGTATATTTTCTGTTTCACTTATTTCTGTTCATATTTTTGTTCATACTTTTATTCTTCTATTTCCTTTGGTTTTATTCTGTTTTCTTTTTCTAATTTATTGAGATGAACATTATTTAATTAATCTTCGTTTTTTTTTTGTTTTTTTTTTTTTGAGACAAAATCTCCCTCTGTTGCCCAGAGATGCAATATTGGCTCACTGCAACCTCTGCCTCCGGGGTTCAAGCAATTCTCCTGCCTCAGCCTCTGGGATTACAGGCGCCCACCACCACGCCCAGTCAATTTTTTTGTATTTTTAGTAGAGACAGGGTTTTACCATGTTGGCCAGGCTGGTTTCTAACTCCCAACCTCAAGTGATCCGCCCCCCTCAGCCTCCCAAAGTGCTAGGATTATAGGCCTGAGCCAGTGTGCTGGGCCTTCTATTCATTTCTTAAGTAAGCATGTAAGGCTACAAACTTTCCCCCAAAGAAACACTTTAATTGCATACCTTAATTTTTGATGTAAACTATTTTCATTATCATTAAGTTCTAAGTGTTTAAGTTTTGATTTGATTTTTTCTTTGATTTATGAGTTTTGTTTAAATTCTCAGGTATATGGAATTTTAAAATTTATCTTTTTGTTATTAATTTTTTTTTTTTTTTTTTTTTTTTTTTTT